GGGGGCGGTACCGCCCCCGTTGAGAACTAATGATCTAAATACTGTCATCTCGTGGGGCCCTGGAGTTGTGCCTTTTCTGCCCCTGCTCCAGCCCCTGGAAAACTATCCTGCTAAAGAATTGCCTGGTCCCAACCACACCATCCTTCAGAAAACTAAAAACTTGGCTTATCTCTATTTCTTACCAAATGCTTTGAATCTGATTTTGTATATTTATTCTTAATGAGGCTTTAACTCTGGACGTCACCATCTCCTATTTGGCAGCCTTATAAATCTAATAAATTATGATTATTATTAATGTGCATTTCAGTATGTAATTAGAAAGTAGGATTTTCTGTTCTGGCACCCATTCTGTGGAACATTCTCCTCCTAGAAATCAACTTCACTGCAATTGTCCATAAAGGCTGCACAGCAATTTAGGGCACATTGTAAATCCTTGGCTCCCAAGCCGCTCAACCCATGATCAACCACAAAAAACTAAACTTCTGCAGCCTTCTTGTGAGGAGCAGCTCTTCCAGAGCACAAGTGGGTAATCCCCCAATTTCTCCTTCCTGTGGAGAAATTTCTGTCAGCCAGAACTGTCTCCTGGCTGGCAATTCCATTGCTGTGCTGTCTCTGCTTGCAGAGCCACTCACAAAGAAGTCTAACCGACTAGTTAACAGTTTGGTGTGCCATAAACCACACTGAAAAACTCATTATGTTCTTCATACAGAGAAAGTTGACTTGACTAAAGATAATCATGGATAAGTATGTTGTATGAATACAGGTAGTCCTCACTTACCAACTGCAATTGGGACTGGTAACTCCACTGCTAAGCGATGCAGTCATTAAGCGAAGCATCACCTAACCACACCCGACTTACGATGTCAGTTCCACTGCTGTCGTGAAGCACAACCTCATGTGACCATGACTTGCGACTTACTGCTGGCTTCCCCACTGAGTTTGCTAGGTAATCATGTGACTGCAAGATGCTGTGACCAGCGTAAATGTGACAAGGGGTGCTGTGATAGCCATAAGTTTGAGGACCAGTCATAAATCTACTCTTTCAGCACTGTTGTAAGTTCAAATGGTCACTGAACAAGACAGTCGTTACCCGAGGACTACTTGTATAGCTTTTTATACGTTTCACTCTGTAGAATTTATTTTAATTTAGCTTTACATGGCTAATAGTATATAAATATTATAGATCCCTTTAGCCTAAAAAAAAAAAACCCACAAATCAGAGAAAATTACTGTATAAGATTTGCTTCATCTTGACAGCTTCAGTAGAACAACAGGGTGCAAATGGATAGCGAATACACAAAAAGAGATTACATATAAAGATTTTTCACGTTATAACATAGAGGTAGATTACCTGCTTCCTTCAAGATATTCTGAACCAACTTCCTACAATCTTTAGCTATTGTCCACATTGGTTACCATGATGGGAACTGGATGGTACTAGTTTATTAGAATGAGTGCATGAGTGGAGGAGCAGGAATCCATTTAATAGCTGTATTCCATATATCTAATCAGCATAACCCGCAGAAGGAATAAATCAATAAATGCAGAAGCCAGATTGATGGGTATTCATTATGCATATATTGTAAATCCTGATTCATTCACAAGTCACGTCGAACACGTGCAGTGTTGGCTTCTGTACTATAACTACATACGTTCACAGCAGGGTGGAAAGCACCCCACTTTCTGATAATCGCTAGTTACATCATTAAAGGCTTGCACACCCGTCCAAAAGAGAAGCGGGAGCCAAAGTTGGCAAGTGGGGGAGGGCCCTGACCCCGGAATAGGTACGGCAACAGACCACACCTCTGAGCAATCTTAAGCATGTACTGAGAAGACCGTAGTACCAGCTCTCACTGTGATCCATGCAGCATGTTCTAGTATCACAATTAGTTAGGAAGGAAATGTTCCAAATCGGGCGCTTTGCAAGCTTTGGACCGAAATGCATGTGCTGGGCAGAAGGAGGCCTACTAGGTTTTTAAAAAGACGAGTTAGTAAATGTAGTGAGGACGATTGGTGGAAAAATCCACTTTTTCCTCCCCGGTTCAGGAACGAGGAGCCCACTTCCCCGGCCCAGCACATGCGCCCTCCCCCTCCGCGGACTCACCTTCCCTTTCTCTGGCCGGATCCGTCTCGCGGGACGGGCGCAAAAGCTGGCCGCCCTCCGCCTGAGGCGTGTGGAGAAGGACCAGCCGCGCTGCCGGAGCGGC